CTACACTACTCTCGACCACTTTCAGCGGCTGCACTTTCATAGAGAGGCTCTGGGAAAGATATTTTTACATATGGCATTAATTCTGGGAACTTTTAATAATGGCCAAATATAATTAAAAATTATGCAAAAATTCCTGCCATGAAGAGAGCAGTACAGAAACGACTCTGTTTGAAGAAAAAGCAATCATTTGCTCATATTCTGAGTCCAGAAAAAAACAAAACGCACGTGGTACTTTTTTAATATTTGAACTACATCAGGCCCAATTCTGCTCCTATGCGAAGCGAGTGGCAAAACTCCAAAATGCAGCAGGATTGAGCCCCTGATGTTGTCACAAGCATTCAAATAAACAAACAGGGCTGTTACACGTTCTAAGCTTCCACTGTGTTCCTCTAAATGGATCCAGACAGAAAAAGAAAAACACATTTCATTGCATTTTTGCAATACAAGGATAACAGCAATGTACAATTTTATATCGTATAGAATTCACCCTCTTAAAGTATAATCAACCAAATGTCCAAAGAGACACAGATTCAAAGAGTCAAGAAAGCTTTTATGCACAGGTTTGGAGGACACACTTCTACCAAATCTGATAGGGATGTCTGATCCCTCTGAGCTTCTAACATGACTTCTTCCTCTGGACTTTCAAAAAGTGCACAACATAGGGATCTTTTCACATGACCTAAATGTGGGCATCTCACATAGCCAGCTAAATCCCCGAGGCTCTTTTATAGACAATAAAAAGAGCTGTCGATGTTCTCAATCATCCTAAGGGGAACATAAGCTAAGTCTCTGCTCTCAATCTCTTCAGCAACTCTAAAAGGAACTGCAAAATCTGTAACTCACGCAAGTTATTCAGCATTAAAAGTCGAATGGCGTAAAGACGGCATCCAGTTTTTAACCTGTAGAAATTTTGCTTTGCTTCCATCTTCATTTTCTGTTACCTGTGATTTCTTTTCATTAACAATATGACTAAATGATACGCTAAAAGCTGAGTGCACCTCTCAGATCTTAACTGTCTCTGAAAGCTTGGGCCAAAATCCAGCAAAGCCCTTAAGCACTTGCGTAATTTCAAGCATATTGACATCTCAGGTTTGAATTTAAATGCATGTCAAAACCCACCACTGGATCACAGCCAGAGGACTCAGCACCTTCCAGAAGGAATCCTTGAAGTTCAAATTTTAACTGAGCTAATATCCATGAAATATTTTCCTTTCTGGACTATGCATTTTAGATGTCTCTTAAATTGCTGTAGGAAGCATTTCCAACTCCACTACACTTTTACTGTTTAGCTTATGTCAAGTTCACCTTTTTGATGAACATTATCCCACAGAAAAGCCAGGTCTGTTGTACTTAACGATACACCTGCATATACTTGACAGTATGCCCAGGAGGCTTCCCCTGCTCTGGAAAAGTGCCAAACACCATACACAACAGCTTAGGAGCTAATGATACACGAGTACCGCTTTCGACCATGCTACAGTTATCAATGCAGCTCTGATGAAGCATATCTCACCACTGACATGGTACATACTCCCAGAACATGAAGAGGGACTCCATTGATAATAATGAATCTAAAAATTTCTTTTGCTCATGTTTGTAGTGTTTTATACCATCATTAACACTTCTAAGACACACAAAAAGCAATTTGTGTGCCAAAACTGTCCAAGGTCAGCTGCTACCCTCTCAAAGAATGACTGAATAAATACATAAAAAACACTCATGCCACAAATTTGATGGAGTTCACTGCACTGTGAAAGCAGCAGGTCTTTCACCAGATAAAGCCCTTTCATTGCGCATTTATTTTAAGCTATTGACCTACACAGCAGTCTTGTAGATCTTCATTAACAATCATATGGTCGGCATTTACTGAGGTAATACCAATCAGGCTAATCTGTATTTCAAATATGGACCAAATGGATGGAAAAACTACTTAAAACAGTAGACACAGAACTACACAACTTGCCTCTGGATGCAAGAAACTGGCTCTAACTTTGCTACAACCACCTGCAACATTTTAATTGTTTTCCATATCAAATTATTGGAATAAGCCCCATGAATTTGGTTGCCTCAACATTGTTTTATTCAAGACAGTTCTAAGCTATGACATATGCAGCAAAGGCTGGAATATTCTTTGGTCTGTGACATACGTGCCACAAACACTATGTGACTGTTACTATTAGTTGACGCTTGTAGAGAAAAGCACTGCGTGATATGCAGCAGTAAATTACTTACATCACTGTTAGCTTGTGGCATGGCATAACCTAGAAGTCAAACCACAGCCAAACAGATGGATAACGTGCATGCCACAAAACTGTATCACTTCACATTACATTTATATCCAGAAATGGTGTTTTCAAAACAATCTGCCTCTCCTGCTTTCCCCAGAAATGGGATAGTTTAAGAGACTATTTCTCTTGAGTAATTTCCCCTCCCTTCCCCCCGCGCATAGAGATGCTTTGGGTTTGTTTTGTTCTTTTCCTCCACCCCCTTTCTTTTTCTTTCTAAAAAAGACACAGTTTTACTCTACAAGGCATGAATCTTGTCAATTTACTGGATAACATCCATCCACATATACATCAGAAGCCCACCAGGGAGTGTCACAAATCCACATAACTTTCCAAAGCTAGATTCAAAATATGGACCTCTTACTTAGCTGACAGATGTGTAAAATCATATGCAGCCAGACAACTCCCTAATGACCACACAGGTGCATGTGCTGAACAATGCAAGTTATTCTAAGACCAACATTAGCTTATACTTGAAAAGTTATCTTCAGAAAAAGTTTTTCTGATGGCATAATGTGATTCTGGGACCAAAACCCACCACACCCTTTTTAGAGGAGGGGAACATATTAGCTCAGCTAGGTAGAGAGGCTGCAGGAAATCTCTGTGAAAGAAGCCAAATTTCAGAGGTTTTCTAGGAAGATATGACTATCATTTGGCCTCAATACTGCAGTGAGCATTAGCCAGAAATACTACAGCTCATTAATGTCTATTTTCTCTTTTATTGATAACTATAGAATCAAACACATGTTCTAAGTAAAAACCGCCTCCGGACGAGGTATGTAAGTTACAGATTTCCACCTCAATTGTGCTCAGTAACATGCATGGGATTTCATGACGGCATGATTTGGCTCAAATGGCTCTGTGTCACCAGTTTCTCACTCCACCCGACACAAGGCAGGAGCCCTGAGGGACAGGACTGAAGCTGTTAGCAGGCTTCAGCCTTGAAACGTGCCCTAATGAGGTGGAGTCAGACTGGTCCCAGATCAGGCAACATAAAAGCAGCATTGAACCATGTTCTTCTGAACTTGCACTTTACACCTCCTCACCAGACTGAAGGCTCAAACACTTCACCCATGGAGAACAAGCAGTCATTGCCGGAAATTCAAAGCCTTTGCAGTAATATTCAGTACACTCTTTACCTTTATTCCTTTCAAACTTAGGATTTTTAACCTAATTTTCCATTCCTCTTACTCCTCTCCAGCAGTGAGATCCCAAGATTCAGAACAGAGCTACTTTTCAATCTTCAGAAAAACTTCACCATCAGTTTCAACTACTTTTACAACCTGAGTGAACAACTGGCAAGACTTCACACAGTGCCAACACAGCAATTTTATCTGCTGTGGGGAGTGCAGGAACTACCTGCTTCATCCTACCATCTGCTCTAGCACAGAACAAAAAGCTTTGGTCCCCTAAGATTTGCTGATTTGCTGCCCATATAAAAACACCAACCGTTACTCCAGGTGCAGCACCGACAGCAGTGATCATCTGACACACTGACTGTCAGAAATTTCATGTGCTAAGCACATCCCAACATGCAAACCCAAAATCAGGTTATTAATGTCTATTCTGCCCCAGGTTCATAGGTATGTAACGCAACCTATTGTATGAGTATTATGTGTGAATTTCCAACTAAACAGATCAATTGATAGCTCTAACAAATGAAAATGTTTTCTTTTTTAATATTACAAAATTCAACAGAAAGATTATACCTAAACATTGTTCACTATATCTCTCTCAAATGAACCATTAAATTGGTTTAATAACCCTGAAAAAAATCTGTACCAGATAAGATGGCATAGCTGTGTTTTCATCTGGAAACCGCTGTGTTTACCACTACAGATACGCAAATAAAAAGCTAAAATTGATAAAAATAAATCTGTACAAAATGGAAAGAAGAATTGAATAAACTCTGCCAAAACAAAACATGCCAAAGACAGAGGCAAGATGCTGCTTATCATTGGTAAGCAAATGTATCAGAAATACAAAGAGCTGTTCTGATGACTTAGAAACTGAAGTTTGAGTAAAAACACTTATCAATATTTTTTATTTGCCACCTCTTCCATTGGAGTGTTTTGATAGCAAAAAAGTAAACAAAAGAAAGGCCTTAATCAGTTGCATGTGTGTTTTATCCTGGCCTCTATCCTTATGAAGCTCACATATTGCTAAAAAATGCTACTTAAAATTTATTTTCAGTCTTGCAACGAACAAATCCAATCTAAGCAATTCAAATTAGAATAGGTAACCGCTCAACAATCCTACTGTTAGAGTAAATAAATGGGGATTTTTGCCCCAGGAAAAGAAAATGACACTTGGTAAACCTACCGTGAACTGAAGAACTAACCATTAAAATCATACCAATCAATGCTTGTGATATATAAAAATCACAGAACAAGGTAAGATTGACTGTTTGTTTTTAAATCAATGCTAAAGTTTTCTTTCTCATTAAAAATGCCATTTAGGAAAGCTGTTACAGTTTTAATTTGTGTTATTCCGTAACTAGTATCTCCACAATTTTCTTAGATTGGAGTTTTCCTTTCAGTAAAGCTTCTTTACATTGCATTCTACAAGAATGTTAATTCTATTTTATCTTTTTCATAGACTGCAATAAAATATGACTATTTAAATATTTTATTTCATATTATTATTTACGTATTTTTAAGTTACTACTAAGCAAGCTGGAACATCAATTTTTGTCCACTGTTTTCGGGCACATACCTCTTTCACACTGGGGTCCAGTAAAGCCATATGTGCAAGCACATCGGTTTGGAGCCACGCATCTCCCTCCATTTAGACATCCATTTTCACAGACAGCTGTATCAGAGGCAAGGCAAAAGTAATCTTTATTGAGCTATTTCCAGAAAGACACGAAAGTATGTACTTGACCACCTGAGGTAAACTAGTAAAAATGGTAAACATTACAGGACAGGATACTTTATTTTTGAGAATCTACTTACGATCTTTTCCTATTTCCTGGCCTCATTAGTATCATGAATTCATCTTTCCAAGGGAGCATAATATAATCACAGTAACAATCACAGCTTTTCTGACCTCTCAGAGCCTTTCTCTTTGGGATGGCTAGACAATTCCATAACTTCAAAATAACATTTCTTTCAAACTTTCAACAAAGAAACACTGAAATAGTAGAGATTGCAGATAGAACGTGCAGAAGAACATTTCATCTCTAAATCCTCAAAATTTTTCCCTATTCAGAAGCAAATTTAAAAATGTATTTGTTCCTCTACCAAATAGAAAAACAATCCAGTATTAAAAGGCTGTTTGATGATGTTAAATAATTCATGCTATCAACTAGGATAGCAAAATGTAATCAATACCTATTTTGACTAAGTTCATCCAAGATATTCTTCCCCTGTATGATGCTGTCACTAGATTCAGAACCCAGTTTTCCTCATAATAAACTCCAGAAGCAGTTGCTCTCAAAAATAATCAGAAAATATAATTCACATGAAAAAGAGCTTTAAAATACAATTTGATGCTCATTGAGTAATGTTATTCTTTGTTGCATTTCACATTCACTTCAGTAAAAAGAAGGTTTCCATTTATCCTCTTTTATCTACTTGATATTTCACAGAGAAGGCAGAAATACAATTCTTAATCCTTTCACCATGTGATCCTCTTCCAGATTATTAGGGTAAATTCCTGGTCCCACTGAAGTTCATATATAGTGTGCCATTGATTTTGACAGAGCACAACAGGTTTTCATTAAATGAGCTAAACACATTTTCTCTGTCAGACCAATAGTTCACTAGATAGCAACATGACAGCCTTGGTTAAAAGCAATGTCTACATCCTTATTTGAGTTTCTTCACAGCATTCCAGCCAAGAAGAGCAAGAGACCACCAGAGTCAGTTTGGGAGAGATTTCAAGCAGCGGATCCAGGAATGCTGTTGGCTCAGGATTGATTGAGGAAATCAAAAATACGATGATCAACTCTAATAAGACAACATCAAAATGAGCAAAATTCCTAAAGCATACTAGCTAAGTCTGAAGCAAACCCCTGAAATTAAAACAAGGCTTTGTATTAAAAAGCTTTATTTTGTCTGTAAGATGAAAATTGAATCCCATGTAAATTCTAAATATATGGCCTATTGCTCTAGTGAGTGGAAAGCCCTGGAGGTCAATGGGAATTATGGTAGTGTGAGAACTACAGGATCAAGTTATATCCAATTATTATGAATTCACATGATGTTTATTTTAATAGTCCTGATCAGAAAGAATTCATTCAGCATTCATTACCCAGTCATGTGTTTTCCTGTAAAATTCCACTGTACCTGGTCAAAAACAAGCTCAACATCAGTTGAAATTTAGTGCTAAAGGGTGCCCAATCCACACACCCCAGAATTACTTAACTGTACACAGTACCTACACTAATAAAAGTGTACTTACGCTGTCCACAGTGTGTTCCTGTATATCCCTTCTGACAGAGGCAATGGTCATCGCTGCAGCTACCTCCATTCATGCACCGGATGTTACAGTGTTGTACTTGAAAGGAAAAAAGATTTTCCTCAGTTAAATCAAGCCAGTCAGAAACACTGAACTGTCTGCTAAGGGGTGGGGTTTTTTTTTTTTTAGGGATTAATTCTATGGAGCAGAAACCAGTATTCGAAACCAAGGGTGTGTATTTTAGGACAGATAGTTAAAATGGCAGTACAGAAAAAGATATTGATTTACAGTTCCTAAGGAATATAGCACATGGTGCAAGAATTTGATACCACCCTTATTCACTGAAGTCAAAGGCATTTCATATGAGCATAAATCCACAGAATTTGTCTCCTAGTTTGCAATGATGAAAAAAGGCCATCAATAAGGGAAAAGTACTAAACTTCTGGCAGATATGACCACGAAGAAAGAGAGTCTTATCATCTGGGCAATGGGGGAGGGAAGTATTAAAGGAAAGCACATGAGGAAGCTCCTGAAGACAGCCCGGTTCTGCCAATACACGGAACAGCAGAAGCTGATCTGCCCAGGTAGGACTTCTTGCACGGAAAGGAAAAATAACAGAGTGATTTCTTTCCGTATGCCATCTGTGGGCTCACGCCATCTCCAGGTAAAGCTGCTGCTGGCTGCAGTGCTTGGGGGCTGCGGAGCTCACAGACAGCACTGCCCCAGAGCCCACAAGCTCCCCTGCAAGGAGCAGAGGCAGGGGAGCAGCAGCACGCTCTCCTCAGCCCCAGCCCCAGCCCCAGCCCCACCACTTACAATGATTAACATGCAGCTTAAGTCCCATGCCAGTATAGCATAAAAGTCTGTGCTGCATTTTTCTAGTAATAAGGACAAATACATGTTTTAACTAGGGGTTAGGAACAACTTAAAGTATGCCAGGCTCTTCATCAGGCATAGAGAATCAGGCAGGCCTCCCACCAAAGTGAAGTCCTCCTTACAGGTCCCACTGTCCAACACAGCTGCGAAGCAGGGCAGGCACTGCAGTAAGCAGCTGGGAAATGGTGTCCCTCTTAACAGGAACCACAGGAAAGGCCCCTCCCCCGACAGGATTACAGGCAGATCAGTATGTCAGTAGATTGTGATGGAGCACTGGATACCCACACCATGCTGTCTGAAATGCCCAGGACCAAAAAACAGAAATCGCATGCCCTGCCGGAGCCTGTCGCTAACAGGTGCCGTGCCAACCACTGAATTTTTCCTGATGCACAAAGCCCTTAAGCATCATTTGGCTTTTTACAGTTCAGAAGTATGTGAATGGAATTTTGGTTTTATTTTCAAGTAGAAATAATAATTGTAATTGTATTGCCTTCTATAGCAATATGAATCCACAGAACAGAAGTTAAACATACAGCTGGAGAAAGGATTTAAAACAATCTAATATTTAAAACACTGGTACTCTTAATTTTTCAATTATAAAAGTAAAAACTGTATCTTACATTTCTTATGTGTCTAATAGTTACGATACATCTTTGTTCTACTTTGGATGTACTTCAGGACTTCAGGCAACAAAAATGTACTAACGTTCCTCAACAAAAAGTAAAATTGTCTGCAAATACAGAGTGAATATCTGGTGAAGATTTTTGGACAATGTCCTAAGTAGGTCAGAAAAAGGTGTATAGTTACTTTAAAATGTGTAGTTCAACTTAGCTTTATACAATCTTAGAAAAACAGAGGGGATTACAAAAAGCATAGGAAATGATATCATCTGTCAAGCAGGGAAGGAACTTAAAAACCACAAACTGATTTCAATTAGAGCAAGCTATGCCAAGAGCTAATTTCCATTCCCACATGAAGACCAAAGCCATTTAAATAGTTTGAACTACATTCGAGATAAAAAGGTTAACAGTAGCTTATGTGATGATTTTCGTATTATTTGTTCAAGTAAAAGTAAAGTATATTTCCCCATTCTGGGCTAAGGAGTGGTTTTACACATAACACACACACAAAGTTTCCATAATTTGTCTTACTGCTTCTTAAAGGAACTTTTCCAAGGTAAAATATTTCTTCCTCCTTTTTAAACTAAAATCATTATGGGAGACTGCTGGGACACCCAGTCATCTTTATTAAAATGAGCCATTCAAAATGAGTGAGCTTTCTTCCTTATTACCATGCAGGAAAATCAGTGACATACAGTCAGTAAACTAATTATTTATTTTCTGCCCTCTTTTGAGGGAATGTTGAAAATAGTATTTCCAAAATCATGCAGACTATTCTGAAATATTACCCTTCCAAAAGTTTATAGAAACACATGCGAAGGCTGTCTGGAGCTCAGATGATGGTTTTAAGATTGCATTTTTGAAAAGTAGCATATTAATGCAGGTCCAGAGTCTCTTTTCTCAGCTATATCAACAATTTCATTAATGTCAGCAGAGATATTCCAGTAAATGAAATAATCTGTTTCAAGGTATCACACTGACAGAGACTCAAGGAAAAAGCAGAGAAATTACCATAAGGCTGGTAAATCAATGCATACAGCTTTGCCTGATCTCGGCATACACAGGAAATGTTAACAACATTAATAAATTATTGCTTTTAATAAATTACCGCTTTTAATCAATTATTGTTCTCTTTCGGGTCCTATCTGTAAACGGTCTGCACTGGAAACTTCTGAAGTCAAAGCAGGAGTAACTGCAGGAACACAGCTTTATAAACCTGCGAAAGAGCCAGCGAGACCAAATGCACCCACACACATGCTTTGTGTGTGGGCAACGTTTGCGGTGTTTATCGAAGCGAAACAACAAGCTGCACACAAGCATAACAGTTCCTGACTTTCTTAATACATTCTCAGCAAAACTGACTAAAGCCTTCACCGCACCAAGAGCACCATCACACCACAAGCACTCACGAAAGGTTCGGGAGCTCACCAAGCAGCCGAAAGGTAATACACACGCCATCTACCCTGCGCTCCCACACTAAAAACCGTGAGGCGTGAGGGTCTGCGATCCTCAGGTGCGGAGGCCAGCCC